CCTAATTCAGCCTTTCATTTAGAGTAGTATTTTCTAAGGTTAGCAGGGAAAGTGTACTATAGTCTCAGATACAATAGATATTTTCTTACGTGGATGCATGAAATACATCTGAAAAGAAAGGATAGAGTGTTTTAATAAAAGTACTCCTTGCCAAAATCATAATATTCATGTGGAAATGGGTGATCAAAAGTTCTTTCTATGTAGTATATCCCAAAAGGAGAACACCTTATTCATACATTATTCTGGTAAGCATTGACCATTGTCAAATTGACAAATGGTATGTTCTAAAATAGAATAATGATATTATCTCAATTAGTTTAAATAAATCCACAGTGTTTTCTTAATTAAATTTTTCCTTATAGTGATCTCTTATTGTCCACTGGTGTATTACCAATGCCCTGAAGAGTCCACTCAGGAAATATTTATTGAAATGAAATTGCTTGTGTGAGGGCGAGTAGTTGATCAAATGAAGCAGCAAACAAACATTGCCAGAAAAAAGTCAGAAATGGCTTTTGTTTTTCTCACTGGCTTTTTGTTGGAGGGCTTAAAAAATATTTTTTATAGTTCATTGGTTTAATAGTTAAATGTTCTGCTAATAAAAGTATTCCAATTGTTAAGATAGAGTTAAATAAATCATTATTTTATCCATGGAATTTAGGTTTTTCATGGCTTGAATGAGTCAGTAAAATCTGCTGGAAGGAGAGAAGGGACGAGAGAAGTGAAGGAAGATGAGTAGATGACCATGCCAGTGGCTCTGAGAGTTGCCTTATGTACATCATCCTATATAATAAGAGGCTAATATGCAAATTGACCAAACAGTGGAACTACCAGTTGCTATGATGTGCACTGACCACCACAGGGCAGATGCTCAACACAGGAGCTGCTCCCTGGTGGTCAGTGCACTCCCACAGGGGGAGTGCCGCTCAGCCAGAAGCCCTGAGCCAGGCTCATGGCTGTTGAGTGCAGCTGCAGTGATGGGAGCCTCTCCTGCCTCTGAGGCAGTCGGACATCCCCTGAGGGCTCCCAGCCGAGCTGACCCTCCCCGCCCCCCCCCCAACGCCAAGTGCACAAATTTTGTGCACCAAGCCTCTAGTCTCATATAATCATAAAATCCTGTGCGATTTTATCTCCTTTTAGAAACAGGAAACAGGTTTTTGCTGCTGTTGCTGCTGCTTCCCAGATCTTGTTCTGGGCCCAGATTCTTGTCTGGAAACTTGGGATTGCCAGTCAGTCTGGTTCTGGAAGCTCTCTGACAACAAGGAGGGGGCTTTAAGTTGGGTTTTACAAAGCAAACTAAGTATTAGTTGAGAATGAGTGACACCTACTTTTCAAATAAATGATAGTATATTCAAATAGATGTGCAAATATACATGTATAACTCACTGAACTCAGATCAGTCTTCTGTCCTCACTACTGTACCTAATCTGTCCTTGGTAAGGTTACCACTGACCTCCATGTTGCTAAATCCAGTGGCAATTTTTAGCTGTTTTCTTATTTAATTTGTCAGTAGCATTTGATGCAATTTCCCCCCTTCCTTCTTTATATATATATATACTAGAGGCTCGGTGCATGAAATTCATGCATGCGGGGGGCGGGGGTCCCTCAGCCTGGCCTGTACCCTCTCCAATCTGGGACCGCTCGGGGGATGTCCAACTGCCAGTTTAGGCCTGATCCCCAGCAATCGGTCATCCCCCCTACAATCCAGGACCGCTGGCTCCTAACTACTTGCCTGCTGCCTGCCTGTTGCCCCTAACTGCCTCTGCCTGCCAGCCTGATTGCCCCCTAACTGTTCCCCTGCCAGCCTTATTATCACCTAACTGCTCCCCGCCTGCCTGATGGCCCCTAACTGCCTCTGCCTCGGCCCCCGCCACGATGGCTTTGTCTGGAAGGACGTCTGGAAAACTTCCGGTCTAATTAGCATATTACCCTTTTATTAGTATATATATTTAAACCAGGCTTTCAAGACACCACACTTTGCTGTTATTTCTCCCATTCCATTGGCCACTCTTTTTTAGTCTCCTTTACCGATCTCTCATTCTCCTGAGGAGTGCCCCAGCATCCATCCAGATCCTACACCTCTTCTCTTCTCTGTCTACACTCATTCACCAGCTAGTCTCCTAACTTTAAATACCTACTGTATGCTGATCACTCCCAACTTTCTATCTCCAGAGAAGACTGGTTTTCTAACTGTAATCTGATATATCCAATTGTTCACTTGACATTGCCACTTACATGTATAATGGGCATCTCACACTTGACATATTTAAAATTAAGCTCCAGATCATTCTCTTAAATCTTGCCCCTCTCGTAATCTTCCATATCTCAATAAATGGCAAGTCCATCTTTACAGTTGTTCAAGCCAAAAGCCTTGGCATGATTCTTGATTTCTCTCTTTTTTTCTTACCCTATTTCCACTGCATCAGCTCTTCTTCCCAAATATCTCCAGAATCTGCTTACTTCTCACTACCCCTGCACCCTAGTCCAAACCACCAAAATCTTTAGTCTCTTGTTACACGAGACTCCTAACTGGTCTGTCTCTTTCTGCCCATGACATCCTACAGCCTGTTCACACAGCAGCAAGTGATGGTCCCAAAATATGGAATATTGCCATTCCTTTACTCACCATTCAGTGACTTGATTCTCATCTTAGAATAAAACTGTAAGTCTTTACCATACCCTACAAGGCCCTACAGAATTTGTTCGCCAACCTCCCCACCAGTTAACGCTCTGATCTCCTCGCCTACTTCTGTCTCCCTTGCTTACTCATCTCCAGACACAATGGGCTCTTGGCTGTCCTTTCAAAGCCCAGGAATGTTCCCTCCTCCAGGTCTATACCAGTGGTCCCCACCCATATTGGTAAGGCTCACTCCTCATCTCCTTCAGGGATTTGCTTACATGGCTCCTCTGAGTTCTTCCCTGACCACTTGTTTAAGTTGCAGTTCCTCTTCAAAAGCATTTCCTGGTCCACTAATGCCAGTAATTTCTTTCTCTCCACAGTCCAGTCACCACCTGGCATACTGTTCATTTTACTCATTTATCTTTATTTATCATCCATTTCCCACTAGATGGAATATAAGCTCCAGTGGAACAGCGATTACCACTTACTCTCCTGTCACCCAGGACAATTCCTGGAATAGCAGGCACTTAGCAAATCCTTATGCAATAAATGAACAGCTAACTTGAACATAAAGACATAAATCTATATCTAACAATTTATAGATCTAATTAATGTGTTTCGAGTGTTGATTTCAAACCCTCTTCTCAGGAGTGACTGAGAAAGTGCCACATATTACCCTAGATGTGTGAGTGCTGGCCTCTGCCCATTTCTCCTCTGTGTATCCTGCTCTGGAGTCCCCTGGACGGGTCTCTGTTGTGGTCATGCAGGGAATTCTTAATTCTGCGGGCAAATGCTTAGACTTTACACTTTGAGTATTGTATCTTTTTAAAATATATTTTTATTGGTTTTAGAGAGACAGGTAGAGGGAGAGAAAGATAGAAACATCAGTGATGAGAGAGAATCATTGATTGGCTGCCTTCTGCATGCCCCACACTGGGGATGGAGCCCGTAACCCGGGCATGTGCCCTGACCAGGAATCGAACGGTGACCTCCTGGTTCATAGGTCATTGCTCAACCACTGAGCAGTGCCGGCCGGGCTGAGTACTGTATCTTTATTAACTGTATCTCCATAGCTCTGATTGTTCCATTTACATACTAGAAGCCAAGGAAGGGAAACTGTCTTCTTGTGCTGAGTCCAGAGCCTATCTCAGCTACCAATGAGCACAAAGATGTCTCTAAATTTTTTTCTTGTTTGATTATTTTATGCCTAGGCAAGACTTTTATAGTATACATTGATGTATTTATTCCATTTATTCTTTTGGTATAACCCATATTATTTACTTCAGATTTATCCAGGATGGCCTACTTAATATCACTGTAGCTATTTTATGTGTCAGTTATACATAGTAAGGTAAAGAACTCCCACCGTTATGCATTGTTTCAGCCAGCAGGAAATTCTGTATCTGGTGGTTCTTGCTGATCTAGCTAAAAGAGACCGAATGACGCATTTCACTTTCAGGGGCTATTGCTGGGCTTGGATATTCCCTGGTACTATTAATAGCACTTCAGGGAACACTCAGGTACAGTGAGAATTTTTTTCTTCAGTCCAGTTCAATGTTTGCAGAAAGAAAGTCACATGCTGTCTGGTTCAGTTACAAGTCACTTGCCCCTCAGTGCCTCCTAAGTTCTAAACAGACCCACCCAGCGTGTTCAGTTGCTCATAAACACAGCACTGGTTCTCAGCATACTTTTGTGCCTTTGTTTATGCTGCTTTCCCTGCCTGGCCAAACCGCTCATCCCTTAAGATTCATCTTGAGTGAGAAGCCTTTACCTGAGTCGACTTGGCCGAAATGCCTTCTGTCCTTCTCTAGGATTCTCCACAATATTTGGAGCTTACCTCTCTCTTCTACAGCAATTTCAGCGTTACCTTAGAGTCTGCTGCATAAATATATACATCACACTCCACTCACACCCAAAATTGTGAATCCCGAGGCATATGACTTCTGTATCCTTGTATCAATCCGCAACAATTAGCACAGTAAATGCTTAGCAACGTGTGTTGAATGATTATGATCAATTGTATGAATGAATGAAATTGCATTCATTTGCATTTGTTCCCAGCGTATTGCCTTTAAAAATATGTGTGTGGCTTGGATTTTCCCCTTTTCCTTAGCAGATGCTACTATGTGCATGGCCAATTTGATACAGGGGAAAACAAAAAAGGAAAATATACTGCAGAGAGTTTAAAAAAATTTTTTTTAACTTTAAAGGAACAAGCTAGTTTGTTCCTTAACAAACTTCTTGCATCTTTCTTTTTATTACATGTTCCCTTCGCTCTGCCCAAACTCGGTCAAATTCCTCCAAAGGGTCTGCTGTAAACAATGATTTTGTGAGTAGTTGTGTGTTCTCTGCAGTGAAAACCCGCCTTGTTTTCTGTTGCTAGGCAACCCCATTCCAGCTGCCCTTGAAGAAATGTGCGGTGGTGGGAAATGGTGGGATTCTGAAGAAGAGTGGCTGTGGCCGTCAAATAGATGAAGCAAATTTTGTCATGCGGTAAGAGAGAGCACCCACAGCGTGGCCCCTGCCTTTTCTCCTTTCCCCCACCCCTCCCACAAGCCCTGGGGCCTTTGGAAATTAGTCGCTTGTGATTAATCAGTTGTAGCTGCTCTTTAGCTTCTCTTCAAGTTCATACACAAGTGAGTTCAGGAGAAGACCAGGGGGCGCAAGGGAACGTGTGTGCCCCCAGAAAGTACAAAGCTGAGAAAGGTCCAGGGGTCCTGGCAGACCCCCAGAGTGGGAACATGCAGATTTTATTTTAGATTACACAGTCGGGTGCCTAAAACTTTAAAAATTGTTCTGAAGACTAACCCTGCGTGAATATTTTAATGTATTCATGTCATTCTATACCATTTTCTTCTTTGCTTTTCACAAAAGCATTTGTGAGTAGCAGGTGGGATTTGAAGAGGGATTTGATCTGTGTCTGAGGAGGAAAACTGGAGGGAAGGCGAGGGGATAAATTCCGAGCAAGGAGTAAGCTTGGAATAAAGGACTGAGCAGAGTAGTGATGTGAGCATCGCTTTCAGCAGAAAACGGGAGGCTTCTGCAGCAGCGAGTAACTGAATCGCTAAGGCACATCCCACCACGGGCACAGACCACCACACCGTACTGGCACCAACCTGTGCTGTCGGGTGATTTTGACCAGAGTGAGGACAGCAAGTGATTGGACTGACACAATTGGGGATTGTCTGAATGAAAGGAAAGAAGGACGGAGTGTGACAGCATGGAGGGTCCTGGCTGGAAAGCGTGTGAAGTGACAGACCTAGAGTCTGGGCTGAATAGGAAGGGGGGGGACATAAAGGAGAAAGGAAGGGAGGAGCCAAATGGGGCCAAATGATAGGGTCATTCAGGGCCTGGCAGGGGCGGGGGGGGGGGGGGTTGGTGGTGAGGATGAGGGAGGGGTGGAATGTACGAGCTGAAGTCGAAGCATGGCCTGCTGGGGTGTATAATTTTGGAGCTTACCTTCTCCTGGGCTGCTCAGATGCGTTGTAGAAAAAGAAGACATTTGTTATTAAAAAAAATGAAGGCACTCAGAGGATGGGATGCTGAGCAAAGCAAGGAAGTAGATTTGGTTTTTATGTTCATTTTGAAGGATAACAGGTAATGGTCTGAATGGGAAAAGGTAGCCCAGAGAACACCACACCACCTCTGAGCTAAGCGGAGCAGGGAGAGAAGAGACTATTTGGAAGTGTTTCAGGAGAAGCCATATTTGTGGGGAGGACCCGATTTCCTCCCAGAGAATGAGAGTTGGGCGTCTGGATGAGCCATCCCATCCTGGGCACACACATGAGCAGCCTTTTGGGAGACTTTACTGTGGGAAAGACACCAAGGGCTGTGGTAGTGTCCTGAGTCAGGAGAGTGGCCCCAGGGGTGGGAGGGATGGAGATGTAGGAGTGGAAACAATCGCCTGGAGAGCAGAGGTAGAACAGAGACCCTGGGTCAGACTCAAGTACTCACTTCAGTACATTGGCATTAAGTTGAGGCTGAGAAGCCAGCAAGGAAAATAGAGAGGTGGGAGGGCCCTTGCCACAAACTAGCTGTGGAATCTACAGCAAGTCTGTTTTCCTTGGCTGGGCCTCAGCTGTCTAATGTATTTGAAGAAGTGGGAGCAGACACTTCCTCAAGCCTTACCACTGTAGAAGCTCCGATTCTATCTGTGATTGTAGGAATATTGTGTAATTGTAACACAGTTCATGTAGTCGTTTAAACCTTCAAATTGCTCTCAATTATAAATTAATTTGCTCTTTCCAAAGACTATATAAGGAAGAAGGAATAGATAATATTATACTCACAGATTCAGGGAAGTTAAGTGGCTTCAAGAGGTCTTAATGCAGTGTAGAAGGAGGCAGTACAATAAATGTCTTTTTAAATTATTCTCAAGTGCGTATGTGTGTGTCACTATGTTTAGGAAGATGGATATTTTAAAGGTTACATGCAGAAGACTAGGCCCAAGCATCTTAGGGTGTTATCTAGGGGGGCCATATTTATTGCAAAAACCAGACTAAGTTGGCTTTGTATATAATCAGGTGTTGATATATTCAAGTTTAGAAATAATGAGTTCCTGTGATTAGAGTCCCAGCACAGTATGAAGAGGTATAATGTTCATAGATGGATGAGGGCAGTGAGGACTGAAAACAATTCAAAGAAGATAGTATTATAGCTAGAGCTATGTGTGCATGTACCTTTGATTTAATTTCAAGAATAGTGCCATTTCGCCCTAACTGCTTTGGTTCAGTGGATAGAGCATCGGCCTACGGACTGAAGGGTCCCAGGTTCGATTCCAGTCAAGGGCATATACCTTGGTTGCAGGCACATCCTTAGTGGGGAGTGTGCAGAAGGCAGCTGAATTGATGTTTGTCTCTCATCAATGTTTCTGACTATCTCTCTCCCTTTCTCTCTGTAAAAAATCAATAAAATATATTTACAAAAAAAAAGAATAGTGCCATTTTCAAAACATTTGATTTTTTAAAAATTCTTATTTATGGTTTATAATATGGAAGTCATTAAATGTTGATGAATTATTTTAAAATTATTTTTACTTGACTATTTATAGATCTATTTATAAATGGCTGCTCAATACACACTTTTGGAGATCCTTAGAAAATTGAGATAGTATAATATATTCAAGATTAAACATTAAGTAAGGAAATTTGATTAAAAAGGACATGGTACATTTGATTAAAAAGGTGTCTGAACAGTTACAGTTACAGTTACAGTTATGGCCTTACCTGTACACAGTAATATACCAGAGCACAGTCCAAATGTCTTTTAGGATTGGAGTATAGCAATGCTATGATGTTCTTTGGTTAGACATTTTCAAATACATCTAATGCCAAAAGCCAATTTTCCATTTTTCAAAGTAAACATTGGCTTTGTAACCAAAAATAAGAATTTAAAAAATAATATTGTAGAATAAAATTTATCTGGAAGGTCTGCAAGACAGAGCTAAGAGAGAAATTGGGTGGCTCAGGGACACATAATTGTGATGACTTTGGATAAGATAAAACGTGCATGTTTTGCATACTTAAGTACATCCAGTTTAAAAAGCGATTTTAGGGCCTCGCCTTTTTGGCTCAGTGGATAGAGTGTCAGCCTGTGGACCAAAGGGTCTGGGGTTCGATTCTGAGCTAAGGGCACATACCTTGGTTGCAGGCTCCACCGTGGCCCAGGCCCTGGTCGGGGTTTGTGCAGGAGGCAATCAATCGATGTGTTTCTTTCACATTGATATTTCTCTCTTCCACTCTCCCTAAAAATCAATGGAAAAATATCCTCAAGTGAGGATTAACTAAAAAAGAAAAAAAGTGCTTTTAGCATTTTTAAAAAAAGGTTGAAGTCATTATGACTTTTTCCAAGGACATATTTTCATTTTTGTTTGTATAGACTGACTTCTTTCTGTGAAAGATGAGTTCGTTGGCCCAGCCACACTGACATGTACACGCAGTTCTGAAAATATTGTGGCCATTCTGTACCATTTAGTAAATATCAGCCACTGGACTCTCCCCAGGGCTCTCCCTCTCTCCTGGCTGCCCCATCCCACCACCAGGACCAACCCCAACCCCCATCTCTCCGGGACCCAGAGCTACAGGGGAAAGGGGGCTCTGGTCCCCTCTCCCAGGTGCCTTCAACACACACCACTTCGCCCCAAGCAGCTTAGTTTCCATGTGTTTTATATAATGGCCATCAGGTAAGGCTTTGTTTGCAGAAAGTATTCAGTGTGAAAACTGCTTGAAAACCCCTGCTCAAGGTCAGCCCTCAGGCCCTTGCAAGTTTGCATGGTCGGGATTTCTGAGAATGGAGGCCTTTCTCCCTAACACTCTAGCTCCTTATGAAGTCAAGTGCACGTCTGCATCCTGGTGTAATTACCTTGCATCCAAATGAGCAACAGACACAGGCTGTGGGTATTGGAGGCAACCCCTAAGCCGGCTCCAAATCAGATGAGGCTCAAGTGGAGGTGGCAGGAAGGAGTGGGCTTTGCTGCGTGCCCAGCCCTGTGCCAGGTGCTCAGGGTCCAGATTCTCTCCAATCCTATGAGAGGTGTTTTCTTTGCTCCCTTTCCTCCCTCCCTCCTTCCCTTCCTTCTGGATTTACTGAGTACCTGACTGTGCCAGGGGTTGGGGTACAAAGGCAAAGCTAGCATCCCCAAGACCTCACCGCCCACGTGAGAGCATCATCCAGAAAACAGCTGTGACTGGGGTGGGTGCAGGATGCAGGGGGAGCCCCCAAGTGACTCAGGGAGGGTTCTCCAGTGGAGTGAAAGTCGAGCCAGGATTTGAAGGATGAGGAAGGGCATTCAAGGGGGAGGAAACTGCATGTGTGAAGGCAGGGAGGCAGGAAAGAGCCCGCCTGGTCTGGGAACTGTGGGAGGGCGATGGAGCCCAGGTCCAGGAAATCTGCTGGGTAAGGTTGGGTCCCAGAACCTACTACCTGGACCCTCTGCCTCCTTGACCTCCTTTGCTCTTGGCTGCCAGGCCAGGAAGAGGCCTCGTCTCCCTGCACAAAGGGAGGCTTTGAAGCTGGAGAGGAGTGAGGAAGGAGGGGCTAGCAAGCTGGTGTGTATTTTTGGATTGCTTCTCAGAAATCTCCTCCTCCTCTTCCTCTGCCTCCTCCTCCAACACCATGGCAGCTGGGGGAGCCGCCTGTGAGCTGGGCTGAGTTGAGGGGGAGGTGGGCTGGGGGTAGAGACTTCTGCTCCCCGTCTCTGAGCCTCAGTTTTGGCATCTAGGATTATGGGCAGGACAACCCAGTGGCTGGCTCCTGTCAACCCAAGTGCTCCAGGAAGCGGAGGGCCAGGCTGGACTCATTAGGGGGAAGCCTGGGAGGTAAGGGTGGGGTTGGGGAGTACCCTGCATCATCCTGCAGCTGGGGGCTCGGCAAGGCTGTGAGGAGTCACGTAGCCTGTACTTCCCACCAAGCAGCCTGCCCTGGTGCCCACTGCTCTGTCACTGCTGAGGAGCCCCCAGGGGAGTGGGAGACAAGGCCTAGGCACAGACACAGGG